GAAGAAAGGCCGCCAGGGCTGTTTGCACAACAAAGTGACAATCAGTGTTACTTTGAATTTTGAAAGAGGAAATATGGGCAGAATATAAAAAGGCACATAAAGTATTTCTTAATAACAGCAATACTGTAATGAGTAGTAAATCTCAGCTGCATATATTCAAATAACCCTCACAAATGCTGGCACATAGCTGGCATTTTAACCTCTCAGAGCAGAGCAGAGGTGTAATTAATACTATTAACAATGACTCTGCACATTTATCACAGTGGAGCAGAACTTATGGCAAGCTTCTTAACATTTAATGGCTGGACTGGATATGTATTCCACATCCGACAAATGACATCTCTTTTACTGTGTATAGGGAAACTCATTACAAATATTCACAATTCAGCTGCAAATATCCACGAACTGAATTGCATTTATTTATGATGAGATGTAATTGCAGCTTCAGATATGTGCAGTTCAGTTCTGACGAGTCATAAGTCTAGTTCAAGATACCTTTAAATACCCTATATTGACGATATCTATGGTGTCCTTTCTTAATTTAAGTTTTAACTTGTCGGAATGATGTGGTAAAAAACTCAAACCTGAATTATACACTGTAAAAAAAAAAATCTGAAAAAACACATTTAACACTTTTTAAAAAGTGCCAGAATACTGTAAAGTTCAAAAACTGTAAAAAAAAAAAAAAAAAAAAAATTAAATTAAAAAAACAATGATAATAACTGTAATTACCTGGAAAACAAATGTATTTTTAGCCAATTTTAGCTAAGCTTAAAATTACATATTGTTAGCGATCTTTTCCTCCACTGGGCTGAGATTGGTTCTGCTAATACTGTTTAAATGCTTTGTTTGATTATGATACTATGGGATGCCTTTCATGAGCTGCATCACGCACAACGGTTTGGATGAGTCCTAATGACATTTGAGATATCAGCAACTATTATTCTGACTAGTCAAAACTGAATTACAGATATCGCACACTGTCAGAAAGACCTTATAGATATCCTGTCACGGTGTAATTACGACTAATCAAAATGATGTTGTTCATGTCTGTAATTTGGATTCTGGATACTCAGCTATTAAATTAAATGCCAAAAGCACTGTCAGGGTCTTGAAACGAGCAAATCAAAATGGACTGCAGTCATGGTTAGCATGATTAATTACACCTGTAGTTCTCCTGCCATGTCGTATCAAAATGTCTGCCTCGTCTTTACTGTCGCTTCCATTTTTGCTGATGCTCAACAGCTGCTGAACGTTCTGCATGGAGGCGAACCCAACCACTGCTCCACAGCGGCACACCTGACCCTCAGACCGAGCCTTGTAGGTGGACACCCGTTTCATTTCTGCAGGCACATTATGTTTGTTCAGCTACAGCCTGCAAATTTGCATGGTCGGCGAATGGAGGCAGTTATTGTTCCTATACATCTTGTTCTTATTACAGCCACCATCACTCATTTGTGCACAATAGTTCAGCATTGCTCCGATCTGTTGCTTTATTGTCCACTTCTCTACAGCCTCTATTCAAATGAATGCGTCAGCCTTTTACTGATCACGACACGCCTGAAACACTCAAACATCTCACTTCACAGCATGTTGCACTGACAGCAACCTACAAGTGAGTGTTAACAAAACAAAAGAAGTGGTCACTGGCACATCAAACACAGACTAGATAAATGTCGAACTGGTTGACAGCTTCCAGACTCTCCACAGACGGGAAAAAAATCATTTTTGACCAACTACCACCGTTATTAAAAAATGATGCGAGCAAAGCCTTCTTCTGCAAACTTTTTCTGTTGCCCCCAACCTTATTAAAGTTTAATTCAACTGGTCTCCCTACACTTCTCAGACTTCACTAACAGAGCCATCAGATGCTTAGCACGAGTATGTGCCTGTGTACGTATAAGTCTACTTCTTGTGCTTGTCTATGTGTCTTCTTCTTTTCCTGTGAATTCTGAACACAAAATCCCCGCACAATAAAGACTCTGTGTCTTCTTATGAGACACAGTGCTATCACATTCTTCTTGTTGTTGAGAGTGAGATAATTTCTTGGACTGTGAGCTACTGTGGCTGAAGCGACTGAAGTGATGACAGCTGTCGCACAAAACTGTTTGCGTGATGAGCTTGAATCTGCAGCGTGTTTGCAGCTTGAGAGGCAGAAGATGCTTTTTTTTTTTTATTATCATTTTGTGGATGAAGCCGCGATTTAATAACGTTTAAATTACGTGAACAAACTTTTACACCAAAACAAGTCAGGAATCCCTCTTTCCCGACAGCTATGTGAGGAATCTGTGCGACAGCATGAGGGGAAGAGAAAAATGTGCAAGAGTTATCTTTGTGGTTCAAATATTTTCACGATAGACTCTTCTGAATCAAACAAGACTCCCATTCAGAGCATTTCTGAACTCCCACATGCCTTCTTGCTCACGCATACAATTCCAGCACATCTGAGCATGAAACTCTGGAGGACAAACCAGCTGAATTTTCAGCATGCACTGAGAAGAGCTTAAACCACACAGTGTTGTGGTACATGTCCACAGGATCGGTCATTGTCTATGCAGCACATTCCGGTAGCAGAGTCCCGCTTTCGAGAGACAGGCTGTCATGTCGGCTGCTTCTCCTCTTCATAAAATTGAGGTCTAGGCCACTTCATGGAAATCAGGGGCATCCAAGTGCCACTCGCCGCATCTGGAAACTCCCAGCAAACTTTTAAACTGTTATCAAAGAAAACAATTGTTGTTGAAGACAGATCCAGCAACTGCATAGCTTGTTTCCCACCTTACATATTTTCAGACACACATTGTTACGATTTTTTTTCGGAATATAATTAAAATAGTTCCAATAAGGTGCTATGTTGGTCTCGTTTTAATTCCAGGAGCAGACAGTGCACAAGTAAAGCACTCATCATATCAAATTTGGCCAATATTTGCATGACTGTCAGAAGATGGAGCCTGGATTTGTTTCCTGGAGAGCACCTGTCAGTTATTTATCGTGACACTGCTTAGTCAGACACCCATCAAGTATCCAATACCGGGAAGCTGCATGATCTCTCACGTCAAAAAACACCCCAATTGACACATAACATTACACAAGTGTCATACTTTCCACTTCCACGAGTACTGGAAGGTTTGTAGGGATCTGCAGACATCTGTGTGCAGACAAATATGTAGGTCCACAAGGCGATTGTGCACAAGGGCAGTAGTGCACATGCTCAGAAATAGTCTGCACGTGTGGAATATGTGTATGACGATCTACTGTACATATATAGAACCTCCAAGTAGACTAGAAAGTTGCATGAGGTCAGTCTTACACTTTCTGTGCCCACAAATGTCTTCATATTCCCAAATACACAAGAGTGTGCATGGACCACTGTGCAGCCCAACATTTGTGTCAACTAAGCCACAAATTGAGCAGTTGTGTGAGAGCTTGGTGGTTGTGATGCTGATGTATTGTGCACATATGGAGCACAGTCCTCAAGGTGAGCTTCTAGTGGACTATAAAGTACTATAACAACATCATGTATTCATGGCGTCTGCAGAGGGAGTAAAATCAAGGCTTTAATAACAACAGCAACTACACATCCATGATGTCCACAATTGTCTGTGAGAATGTCCAGAAGGGAGTAAAATAAAGACCTTACATTGCCAAATAGAGCTTTCAAGAGCATCTGTTCTTCCTCATTACTACTCAATAAATAAGAACTGAGAACTAGTGCAGCACAATATATTGTTTTCAACACAATACGAAATTATGTTCAACAAACTACATTGAGTTAGGGGGCGAGCTGTTCCTCTGCAGGCAAAGATATACTTAATCTTCTGTTTTAGTCGTAAGAAATTGTTCATGTATGTTCAGATAGAGGAGGGGACTTGAAATCCTGAAGTCAAGGTGAAAAAAATTAAGTTAATGTTAAGCTACCTCAATTTAAATTAAATGAACTAACGTGGTAATTTAAGTTTAAATGACACAATATTAAGATGATGCAATTTGCAACATTATTATGTGAAGCTAACACATCAAAACATATCTGCAGCTTAAATAGTTTATATAAATCAGTATACTCGACGTGTCACTTTGTGCCAGTGCATTTATGTAAGTGGTGGAAACAGGTTACTTTTAAGAAGTTTCCACAAAGCATGACAAGAAAAAAAAAGCATCAGATTCTCAGATCTGTGAAGTTAAATTATCACATGTAATTGACTGTTTATGTGAAATGACTGTCAGCTATAAAACGGTCACTGTTGAATTTATTATCAATAACTATTAAGAATCCCTTAGTCGGCTGAGTATTTCAGTTCAAGTAATAGGTACCTTTGATATGCTAAATTACATTTAGGTGATTCAATGAAATAAAAAGTAGTAGCTGTGTGTCAAAGTCACACATGTGGATGTCACGCAGTTTTCTCATCACTTTCTCTGCAGCTTCTAATTTCTTTATGACTACTTTTCTTGCAACCATCTTGCAGAGGCAGCGTTGGGACCTCTGCCTGCATTGCAGTAGCCTTTGTGCTGGACTCTTAACTCAGCGTTCAGATGCTCTCTGGCAGTGAAACCTGCAGCTGTCCTGCACTGCGCAGGGAGAAGCAACAGAGGGGGGAAAGCTGCGCTCACTATTTGGCAGGATGCTCGGGGCTGAGCCGGAGGATACGGCACAACATGCTTTATCACTGCGGACTCACTATTTAGCATGTGCCCGTGGAAATTTTCACACTGATAATTTTTGCCGTGACAAGCACATTCTGGCGGCAGTCCTCGGCGCCGCACGGAAAATGACAAAAATCAGCCGAAAAGTAGAACATAAAGACGGAGAGCGTAAATAAACAGCGCTGAGCCGTTACTAACCTGCTAACATTAGCCTGCTAGCGGCTAATATTTAAGCTCTGGAAAAGTGCTTCCAGCGTCAAATCACGGCCAAACTTCAAACGTACGCTACTGCTGGGGACATATGAAAAGGTACAAGCGACAAGTGGAAAAAGAGGTCATTTTGAAGCTTTAAAACTCACCTTTTTTCCGCAGTTCCGAGAAAAGAGATGAAGGATTTTTGACAAGAGCTGTCACTGCTCTTCCGGGTTAGGCGGTGACGTGTGCAGACGCCCAATAAGAGACTGGCCATGCTGGGATTGTTTTGGTTCTGCACACTGGCTGCTACACTGGCAGCTATTCATCCTTTCCTTAAATAATCACATCTTTTCAAATCCATCCCACTTATTGTCACTCATGATGAAACAGCGGTTAGTTTACACGACTTTCTGTTTGTTGGTTCTGTTTTGTTTGCTTTTTTTCTGTGATTTTTTTTTTTTTTAATTGCTTCTTTTTTTTACTGTAATATGAAGTCATGCACCTCTAAGGATACAGCACAGCCAGAAGTAGACAGTGCATATAGAGAGAAAATAAATAAATATTACAAATAATATAAATAAAATAAAAAATAAAATAATAATAATAATAATGTTTTCTGTGCAGCATAACAAAGTTATCACGCCATAAATCATAACTAAAGAAAAATAAAAGTGGACATGTTGTTTCCAGGTTTTTTGTTGTTGTTTTTGCTTTGTTTTTGTTAAATGAAGAAAATCACTACTTTACAGGAACCACAATTTTTTTTAAAAATAAATAAATAAAAAATAGGAAGAACAATCATAATCATAATAATCATAATCTGGACTTTTTGGCACAACCAAGCTACCATGACTGGCAAAGCTGCAACTATCAATTATGTGACAAAAATTCAGGGATTTTTCTGCTGGAAGTGTTTACACAAAGCAGAGAAGGGACAAGTTGGAAAACAAGCAAAAAATGTAAACTATTTATAGCATGTAGTCTACATTTTTTTGAATTTGATTATATATTTGAGAAAATTATTAAATTATACAAAATAAATAAATAAATAAAAGCAACATGTCTCACATTTTTCCAAATGCCCACAGTTGTTAACCATACTTAAGAAAAAAATAAATCCACAACTTACATTTTTACAATCCCAAGGTGTTTTTCACACAACTCTGCACATCAGCTCTCGACAGATATGCTGACTATATCTTCAAATGAATTGCTGACAACTTGTTTGACTGCCTACAGTTTCTGAGCAATGTTGCAATTATATTATTGATCAAGTATGACATTTTTTGCTCCTAATCTCTCCAGTTATTTCCACACTCGTCCCCTCTGTGCTCTACACAAACCCAGCCTGCAGTTCATCGCAATCCAGTACAAAAAGTCACAGAATTTTTGGCCATGTGACTGTTGGCCACAGCTGAGTCCATCATGGCTTTTTGGTTGTTCCAAAAACAAGTTTTTTTTACAGAATCTTGTTACAAATGTCATTGAACTTTTGACAAATTAAAAAAAATAAAATTAGAAAAGGAATTTGACTGACCATCACAGAGGAGGAGTTGACAGATTGTTGAAAAGTGAAAATCTGAATTTTCTGTTTTTGATAAGTGGTGTCTTTTTGTTATTTTTTAAAAAAAGAAAAAAGATAATATGCTTTTAAAACTCGTGAGCAGGTTTTGGGGGTGAGAGATTTTAGTAAGTTTTGTTACATAACTGTCATTTCCGAAAAAAGAGAAGGCATTGTGTAGGAAAGAAGAAGGAGAATGAATAGACATAAGCAGCACATACTAAAGTAAGAGATTTAATCCATGATGAAATATAAAGATGACACAGACACTCTATTGCTTTCATAGGCTGTCACAGAGGCGGTGTTAAGATCTTGAACCGTTGGGAGTTTAGCCCAGCCCACTAATATTTAGATTTTTTACACTGTTTTTAAGTTGTTTTAAGTTCAAATGGAAATGTGAGACACTGTGCTCTCTGCAAAGTAAGCTCATCCCACTTTCTGTCTGTGTTTTGCCCATCATCCTTACATTCATCATTTTTCTGTCTGAGAAAGCTTCTTATGTCCAAAGCCGTCCCTTCCTGCCTCAGTGAGTGAGTTAACTGGTTGACACTACAGGCCAAGAATTGGAAGCCCTGTAACCGGTGCACTCTCCCAAATATGTTCTAATAAAATCTTCACGTGCCAAGTAAGTAAATCTGCTGCTTGAATGACACACAGAAGAACCCATAACGAATTTTGTTTGTGTTTTTGATCTATGATATCATCTTGTTTTTCAGGGGTTTATTGCACAAACAGAATGACAGATGAATAGATCAATATAAAACATTCTGGACTGCACAGCTTATCAGCACTGATGGTCAGATGGCAGTTAGTTGAGATTAGTTGGTTTTGGTTTGGTACGTGGCTGCAAGAAAACCTCAGTATCGTTTTAGGTTAAAGACACAACATGATGCAGGAAAGAAACAGAAAATAAAAATAAGCAGCACCCTCTAAAGTCAGAAACTTAGTCCACAATGAGACAAAAAAGACAACACAAAGACACAATCACTCCAACAGCTCGACTCTGAACTACCTTTTAATGTACAACATAGACCGTTTTTAAATCTATAAAGTCAAACCATGAGCCTTTGTTTCCCAGAATCTAAAAATACAATGAACAAAAATATGAACACTGCATACAAATGGTCTTCTTTTGTGACTTAGAGGAAACGTTAAAAATTTGTTCTTATTTCTGGAACTAGTTGGAAAAGGATTAAATTTAGCCAACTGTGCAAAAAGCTGAGCTGTTCAAGTGGTGACGATTCTCAACCACTAAGTTAATCTTCACCCAAAGTGTGATGCTAAAGGACGACGATCAGATCGTGTGACCTGCACACAGACAATCCTTTGACCTGTGACTACAAAAGTCCACCTTAAAATGCAGATTTATTTAAATAACATGATGCCACAGATGGCAAGTGTTAAACTTAAATGTTCAAAACTCCATGCGTCTTCTAAGAAATAGTTTCCGACAGCTCTGGATGTCCAGCAACATGATTCTGTCCCCCTAAGTGTCCACAAATTTCCTTCAAGAAGAGTGAGACAATATTCTACAAGCAGCATCGACAACCTTAATAACTCTGTGTGTTGTGACTTCTGGTCTATGATCACTCTCTCCGTCCACCAATCATCATTTCCAATCTACTTAGCTGTTCCATGATGTCTATTGTGTTGTAGAGATGTCATCTGTTGGAACATCAAACACCGAAAAAGACTGGATAGAATATAATAAAATACTAAAAGCTTGAAAAGCCTTTATGTATTTGTTCAGTACAATTCTGGAGCTGTTGCATGCCTCTAACATCAGAACTGCAAAAGCACATTTTTTAAACAGTTAGTATTTTAGAAAACAGGGATTCCTGAACCAAACCAACAACCCAGGACCTCGCTGCAGAACGGTCTTGGCTCCTTTTCAACAAATCTCAAACAAGCAGCCAGAAACCACGAGTGCTTTAGGGACAGACTTTCAACAAACAAGTCACAAGCATTGTTCAAACACTCTTCTTCCAACCGGGAGCATTTTTAAAGATCAGGTCCATCCTCACAAACACTGACCTTTAGAAGGCGATGCATGACTTTGTATCACTGCTGTAAGGTTCAGAATTGATTTTAGGATTATTCTCATCATGTTTAATGAACTTCTACATACACTTCTCACTTTGAAGAAAGTCACAAACAATTCTCTAAAAAAAAACTCTCTCTCATTATTTCTGGCATTTAGCAAATAGAAATAATTTTGGTAATCCTAACTGACCTAAAACAGGAAAAGTTTAGTCTGATTTAATGTCAGATAGTGAGAAAAAAAAAGGTTATGTGCCTTTTATACAGTGTTCATAAGGTTCTGGTTTCAACTGTATATACCAATATATATATTGTTAAAAGGTGCTTTACATGTAAAGTGTATCATTATTATAACTTTGGCTCAAAATCACTCAGTAATTATAATACATTCCCTGATGCAACATTGGAAAGTTTCCTTTCTGCACTATCAGCTCCATTCTGCATCGTCTTACTTTGCTGTGGCAATCAATGAAATATTTTCCCATGTTTACATAGTTTCCACTTTCTTAGATTAGTTTTATGACAGAAAAAAGTATAACAGAATAACTGCCACTATTGTAGCGAAAGAAATCAGTGAAGAACATGTATAGAGATCTTTGACCTTTACCAGGAACAGAAGAAGCAATCTTAAAAGTACTAAGTTACAACAAAGTTCTGCTTTTAAAACTTTCTTTAGCAAAGTAGTATCACAAATACTCACTAATATTTAGTATATATTGTGACTAAAAGTAGAAGTATGCAGAATGCAGAAGAATGGCAGCTGTCAGAGTTGGACACATTTAAATTGACTTTGTGGATTTTCAGTTATTTGTGAAATTATGTGTATATTTTTCTAGCAAGTGGAGGTAAAGTTAAGTTTAGCAGCTTTACATTTTGTAGAAGCAATGAATCATAGCCTGTTAGAATTGGGTTTTTTTTGTTTGTTTTTACATAAAATCTAATCTGTAAAGTAACAACTGTAAATAGATTCCAAGCATAAATCACTTTTCAGATGACACCAGGTCAGGCCATTACAAGTAACTTAGGGTTCATTGTTTTGCAACATAATATACTGTAAAGAAGGAGAAAGGAAAATATTCATCTAGATTTGTAAGGAGTTGGAAAAATGATTTAGCAGAAAATGGAAATACTAAAGTAAAGTATCTCACACAAGATTCAGAGAAAAATCTATACGCAGAAAGAGACAGACAGACAATAGTCAACTGAGCCAACCTCGATCCATACCAAGACAAAAGCAGGTCAACAATGTGCACTTTGGGCTCATTAGAAGTTTTGATTAGAACACCAGCAAGATTGCTAAATTATGCCAAGTAAAACTCCCTGTTAAATGTAACGTGGGACATGTCTGTTTCTTTGCACCTGTTGTTGCCTTACAGACATTAATTAAATGTATCTCGCTCTGCTGTGGCCGCTGCTTCTTCATCCTTGCTAAGCGAAACCACACTGAACAGTATCAGACATGCAGGCTGCAAAATCCTCCCAATACCTGAACACCCAGACATCAAAAACAAAACCATCCACCACTGCAAATGACACCAACCACTCTCAAAATTCTGCCTACATTACTATTGTCTGGCACTGGTTCCGAATGCGATGCTTTAAAATGAATGAAGGACCTTTCTGGCAGGGGGTTCATCTCTCCTGC